ATTTGCTGTCTACTGCCTCCACCCAGATGTAGCTGGTCCTCAGCTGTCTCTCTGGTCTCCAGTCTGCAGTGGCCACGGTCCTCCCTAGAAAGAACAGGTGTTCCCTCAGGTGAGACCGCCCAGAGTGACTTGCTGTGCTTTGTCATAGTCCTTACGTGTTCTCAGTCACTTCATTACTCACTACACTTGGCACCTTTCTCAGTGAAGAGGCCAACGCTGGGACCACAATGGCATCTATGAAATGTTCTCTCACACTTAGCACACGTTGTCCTCGGCGCATACATATGAGGTGGAGAAAGAAACCACCTTAGGGAGGAGGACACTCACTGGCTCAGGGCACTGCTAAATAAGCACAGCACCCAGGACTCAGGCCCACATCCCCTTTCCCATTCAGCCGGAGAGCTGGGCTCCAGCAAGTCAGTAAGGGTGAGTGAGCCCTGTAAACCCAAAGGGGCCCTGTTAACCATCAGCCCACGGAGCAGCGCAGGCCATAGGGGCTATTTGCAGGAGGCAGATACAGGTCACCCCCACTCTGCACACACCTTCTTCCAGTGGGGTACAGAACCGGCCTCAGGCAGGGGGTTTGCTCTTATAAATGACAGCTTTTAGACGCCGGACAGTATAAGATACAATAATAATTTATAAATTATTAAGGGTGCATGGGGGAGAGGGGAGGAGGAAGGGAAGGGGAGGGGGGGAAAAAGTAAAATGAGCTGATTCCGGGAACCCAAGAGGCAAACGAATTTTGGGAATAATGAGGGCAACAAATGTATAGATGTGTTTTATACAATTGATCTATATATTGTGATGAATTGTATGAGCCCCAATAAATTGATTAAAAAAAATAAAATAAATGACAGCTTTTAAGTGGGGCTGAGAACAAGTTCAACTCCAAGCTGAGTTTCCAGACTGGGCTTCTCCCCCTGCTAAGTTTTCTGGGGTCCTCAGAGGCCTGCACAGCACACAGGGGCAGCTGACAGTGTGTGCCTTCTTAGGGCGGGTGGCTGCCTAGTAAAAAGGCAAACTCGTTCTCACTGGTTCTGGTAACGTAATGACTCTTCATGTTCCCTAATAAGGTGGTCTTTCTGTCAGTATCTCACCCCAGCTGCCCAGTGGTAATGGACGCTGGGCAGGCAGTAATTCCATTTTACCAGGAAAATTAAGCCAAGGAGGTCTTAGAGGATCTCAGGAGACATCTGCCTGCACCTCCTCTCACCTGCTGGTTTTTCCTTGTGTACCTTGCTGTCTCTACTATTGATAGATGGGTAGAATGTTAGAATTTGTTCTCCTTATTGTGAACAGATACTCAGAAAATAACATTTGTGCTAGGCAAGTCATTCCTGCCTGCTCAGGTCTGTTGAAATTATGTAGACATGTTAAGAATGGCCTGGTTATGGGAGGCCCTATAACAAAAGCGAGTGTCCCCACTTAAGGAGAAATAAAGGAACCAGAGCCAGTAATCCAGGAAAGGGCAAGCTGGAGTCCCTGTAGTCACTGGATATCATTTACCACCATTTGATTTTTGAGAGGCAGCCCCTCATTCTGAGCTGAGACCCTCCTGAAGTACAGACTGGGTTAGAGGAGAGAATAGGGCTACTGGAGCTGTAAATACATGCAGAAGCAGATTGCCACATCTTTCTCCCTTGGGGCCAGCTTGAAGCAAGGGAAATACAAACAAGTTATTAGCTAGAAAATCCTAACAGAGGAAAAAGGGCAGAGTCAGATTTGAGCAATGAAAGAAAACCCAATATCTTACCCATTCGTGTAGAACCTTAATACCTGATTCACATTTGTACTTTGTATTTTAGAATCTAAACTGTGTATTCTGCATGCATGTGTTTGTGTGTGTGTGTACTCCTTCATCCACCTAGCCTTGATGTAGGATTTTTGTACTGCCACCAGTACCAAAGTCCCCAGGAAGCTGGGCTAGGATTGGAGAATGGTTTTGGACTTGGCACCTGGAGGGTGTGCTCTGCCTTCTAAGCCTCCAGTTCAATCTGGGTGGGCCTCCACATCTAGTGCAAGCTGAGTCACATTCTGCCTTCTAGAAAATGTTGTTTGTGTGTGGGTTGTGAGCAGGATCTTGACACCCAGACCGAGAGCCAGCAGCTCAGAGCACCTGAGAGGCTGGGAGGGATGGCTGCTGAGTGCCATACTGATGGCCCGGTGAGGATCATCTGGCCACTGCCAAGTGTCACAATGCTCATGCATCAGAGGTGGGCTGAGCTTCTCTAATTCCAGGGAACTGATTACCACGTCATACCTGCTCCCCAAGTTCATCCCCCAGTTCCACTGGAACTTGACACCTGTTCACTGGAGGGGTGTTGTGTCAGATCAGGTGAGCAGCAAAGGTGATGGGAATTATGGAGTTGTGGAGGTAGAGTTTATAAGCAGAGGTCAGTGTTTTTCTGGATGTGGACAAGAGGACAGATCAACCTTTCTGGAATTTGTAAAAACCAAAGAAAGAAGCCCCTGGGCATGTGTGTTTAGTGCAGCTCACACAGGCTCTTAGCTGCTTAACTTGACCCTGTTTCATTTCCCGTTTCCCTCATTCCCACTCATCTCTTCACTTTTGAGAGACTGGACATCTTTATATAAAAGAACTTCATAGATAAAAAATACAGATTCCTTACCATTGAATTGATTCCAACTCCTAATGAAGAAGCTGTAAGACAGTAGACCTGCCCAGGGTTCCAAGGCTGCACATCTTGATGGAGGCAGATGCCTCTTTTCCCAGAGAGCAGCTGGTCTTTTCAACCGTTCCAGTTAGCTGAGTGCTTAACCACTGTACCACCAGAACTCTATAAAACAACAGAGTTCCCTAAAAGCCAAGCACCCATAGCTGCCCCGATTCTTTTGGCACCCTGGACACAGAGCTGTGGTCAGTGTGTGTGTGTGTGTTTTGATGGTGGCATTGTGTGCAGGCCTTTATGGCTGCAGTTTGAACAGTGGCCCTCTGTTGTCCAACATGTCCTTTTTCTCCTGTCACTGTGCAGCCAGTTACCTGCTTTGGTACAAGTTATTCTGAATACTTCTTGCAGTGTAATCGCAGAGTGGTCTATTTTTTTATTTTTGTGGGCTGGGACAACTCTTGTTGCTACTGAAAGGTTGATATCCACAAAAGCCCTTCGTTTGTGATGGGACCCCATATTGGAGCATGTCAGTAGTTTCTGGCAAGAAATAGGGTTTGCAGTAGGAGGTAGGAGGACACATAGCTTTTCAGAGAGTAAAGAGAACTACCTCTGCTGTTGCAGGGTGGGGTGGTGGGGGTGCGTGCTGCCCCAACTCCCACCCCCACCGTTTCTAGGTGGGATGGGCAGAGAATGTGCCAAGGCTGGTAGCTGTCTTTGTGGGTTGCTTCATTAGCCCCAGGTGCAGCTGTGAAAAGGTCTCCAGAGACCTTCAGGGATGTGGGATGGGTTTATTGCACAAGCAGTGGGATCTGGTTCCCCAGCTGACGAAGACTTAGCCCTGGCAGCAGGCAGCAGGGACTAGTAGGCCCACAGGTGCTGTCCCTTAGTGCAGCAGGGCTGAGAGCACTGCCTGCTGCTGGGTGACTCCAACAGTTACTGGGACAGACCACTTTCCTTCCAAGCACACCCTGCCACCTCCTGCCACTGTCCACACCACTGGACCACCTCAGAGCTGGGCCTGTGCTTTTCCTGGCTGTCAGGACAGCACTGCATTATTTTCTGGTGTTTTGGGTAACTTTTTACTTTATTTGGTTTGATGCTTACAGGCAACATGTTTAAGAGCAGTACAGAGAAGTCTTCTCTTTCCTCAGAGCCTGTCAGTATTGTCCCTCAGAGGCTTTGCACCCCTGCCACTGTCCCCTTGGGGGAGAATATGTAGGGTACCCTTTACAGTAAAAGCTGCAAGCTGAGCACTTAAGTGCTTGGGCATGTTTGTTATTAACAAGGATGCTTTTGCAGCTGATGGTGCCCATCTATAAAAAGGTATAGCGTCTGG